ACAACCAGATAACGCTAGCCAAAAGCGGATCTTCCTAGCGAACCGCAATAAATCAGATAAAATTAGGCGTGCCGTATTCTTGAATTCACTCAACTGTTCCTTAGTCCACCTCACAGCAAGTTGATTAAAATTAAGTGTAGAAATTAAACCCTATCGTTATACAGAATTACAGCTGCAACTTTTGGCTAGCTTCACATCTGAGGGAATCTTTGTACTCCGGATGTTCTGATGGGTACCCGACGCTGTGAGGGCCGCTGAAATCCTGGAATGATGCGCCACCGACTAATTGATGTACTGTCATCCCGAAAACTCAATCCTAGACAATTGTAGTGCATTTATATAACTCCAACTATTAAGATCTTTATAGAGGAAAAAAGAACTTATTATTTACTGAGTTCCAGGCAGCTGTGCAAATGCGGGCAACACCGCCCAGAATCGTTGAACTTCCGACCTCCATAAGTAGGTTCGTTCTCAATCGAAACCCAGAATCTTCGGTCCAAATAATGTTGTTCCACTTGAAATAATGTTTAATGCACTATTGCGAAGCCCAACACAGATGGACGCCATTACGGTTCCCACACTCAATAACTACACGTCGCATGGCCTTGTCTTACAAAACACGTATTTTGTAAGGTTCATTACAAAATAGGGATAAACGATTGAGATTAACAGTGCCGAGAAAGACTAGGGAGACTACTCAAGAGTGAGCCCCAAGGCAGAGCGGGGTGAGTGAGTTTTGATAGCGATTGGTGAACGCTCATCAACGAGTGACACAGGTTTTAACTGTACCCCCGATTTTGCCGGCATACACCCCCATAATCTCAAGGTATGGCGCCGTTGTTCGGAATATGCCAATGATAACATGTAGTTTTGCATTGTTTCAACCATTGTACAACAGTGGTTTTGGGTTCACTCGAGTATGTTAACATCTCATGTCCTGATTTGTCCGTCTCGTACATTACGATCGCCCGCCGCACTTCCTTCGCTGTCGGACAGCATTACGACTGCGGAAAAAACGCGAAACAAAAAGTTCGTCTTCGCCAACAGATCTATCCAGGCATGGAATACTCGGCCTGCGGAAATCTTCATGTCCCTACCTGTGACCATTACAGCCACGACCACGTCTTGTACCGCCATCCAAATTTACACTATATGTAACATACTACTTTTCGTTTTACAATAGTGTTATTTTACTATTTGTTTCGTCAAATGACCTGTGTGTATCGGCGTCCACCACCTGCCATGTTATTGCATCCAATAGGGAGTTAAAAGGTGCTCGCCTATAGCTCGCTTTATAAAACAACCGAACTGACTTAAAAATGATACTTTCGTAAAGGGTATAATAAGGCGTTGGTGCAATGACTCGGACAAATCCTGCTGTAGATCAGGTCAGAACCCACTCGTCTCTAATTTTGACACATGTAAGTAAATTGAGAGATCGAGAGAGTGCAGGTCAGAGAAAAGTATTGTAGTCCGGGCACACAGACTATCTTGGTGCATGTGTGTAAATTATACTAACTGATCCAGCGTGCACCAGTGAGTCATTCATTTTTAGTCTGTCAACTACACATTAGTTGCCTATTTTTCTCCAAAACAGCTTCTTGGCCTCATTTTTTAGGCAGGAAGCGAATGCAAGTTGGCTAAATATCAGAAAGTAAAAAAAAGACAGAATGTAGAAGTTACATGTGACCATTAATTTACATGTACCTCAGGGGGATTATGCGAGTCAACGGGATCACATCAGGTCAGGGAACTTCAAGTCGCCAACTGTGCTGGTTATATATGACGCCACACAAATTATTTGGGCCGAAATCCACAACCGGTGACGCTGCAAAAAGTTGTAGGCTAAGCGCACTTCCAGCAAGATAATTGGCTATTCCGCAAAGGATGCATTAGTATAAAAATTAGTTGCCCGTCTAAGAGCCCAATTTATAAACTTGTTACAAGAAAACCGGGGTTATCTCTCAGTTAACACCCATATACAACCATACGCATTGTCTACAAAGGAGCAGCAATAAACCATTCTTTTCTTCAAAACAACTAAAAAAAAGCGTAAGCACATACACCCTCTTTGGCAAAAGCCGTAAGGGAATGGAACTGCTAAGAAATTGGCTTACGCATTGACGTCGTGGGACTAACCTGTAAGATTTCATGCCTATAAAAGTCCAAGAGACGCTGCTTGAGACCACCATTGCAGAAGGATTGAATACAAATCAGTCGTAGGACCTGTTAATTAACGGCAGGAAATCTATCTTTAGAAATCTATGCGGAGTAGTATGGATGAGCGAACTAAAACAGCGAATCAGTCTTATTAAAGCCAAAATTACTTGGGCGAAGAGTTAGGGCTCCCGCGAGACATTCAACTTTCGCAGGCTTAAGAAGTTTAAGGCTGATAAGCCAGATATCGCCTGCAGGAAAGGTTTCTGGAGAATCTTTGAAGCGGGGAAGTTTGTTTAAGTGCATGGGTACGACTAATTAAATGTAAAGAAATGCAGACTAACTCGTATGCAGCAGCGAACTGGCTTTCTACACGTCCAAATAAACTACATTAGGAAAAAATCACTAGTTAAGTTGTGCGTAGTGTCTCCATTCGAGTTGGCTCCCCACATAACTCTACGCCTGTTTTTACTGAACAGGCGCGGAAGTTTTTTCTCCTGTGCTTAATTTACAGGGAACTACAGTATCATCCAGGTGAGGGGATATTTAACGTAATTAACACAAATGAAAACATCAGAAGGTAATTTGACGGGGATGCAAGTTACTACAGTGTGTATAGGGAGTGTGAAGTCTTATTGTTTCAGTTCGTTCGGGACAATCCTTTTCGTGTCCGGTACGAAAGTTGACAAGCACATTTGAGCTGAAACCGACCGCCTACTGCGGAATAATGTAAAATTCATAAGCCACCGACGGGCAGTCAGTATCCTACAAATGCGCAAGTTATAAACACAGCAAACTAGTATTTTCTATTTTAAAGTACTTTTAACACGTTTGGTTGGTGTTACAGAAGTGCCGCCACCTCTTGTACTAAGTGACAGGCGATTGCGTAGATAGTAGATTGTAAAATACTCAGAAGTTAGTAGTTTCCAAGTAAGCAGGAGTGGCTTAAGGATAAGTCTTGGTCAGAACAGTAAATTAGTGACGCTAAAGTGACCACAAGAGGGCGCACATCATATGTTAGTAACAGTATGTGGACATCTTCATCCTGCCCTCAAGTACTGTTCCGGATATTTAATGACAATAGACTTTGGCCTGTCAAGAATAGTACAATATCCAGTTAAGAATAAACATGCTACTATAATGTTTTCGGTAACACGTTTACTTACAACATATTACTGCGGTCTTAGGGAATGAAATTGGAGCTCCCCCTGATATTGAGGATAATTAATAGTAGGTATGAGCTAGGCTTCAGTTTGGTGTACCAGAGCTTTCTTGTCCGTCCGTTTACATGTTTATCTCATAGGCAAAAATGAAACAAATGTGCTGAAGACGAAAAGACAGACAGTGCAGTGTGATAAAAAACAGCAAAGCTTAAATACATAAACTACCTCTTCAATTGGAGCGAGCTGTAGGATACGCTGCTCAATGAGAGGATGCGCCTTGTCTGTTTCAAAACCGGCCAAGAAATCTGAAAAGGCAACAAATACGAAAAAAACCCGTACAATGAACTTCCTAATAGGCGTACTTATGGAAGCAGGAAACGTGTTAGGTATAAGACCTCATTGCCAAAACCCTATTTAACAAATACACACCTTGTTGAGTGCGAAAGTCAGTCAAGAATTCCTCGGAGCCAGCGTACTCTTGGAGGACTTCAGCCAGGTCCATGTCTGCAGGGGAGGTGGGAATACAAGAAAACGAAATAGAAGATGGAACAGCGGAAGTAACATAGCAGATACAATCAAATATGTGTTTTGTGGGTTCGCACCAACGCTAGCTTATTTGAACCCAGAGTCAATGACCTACTTCGT